CTTCTTGCGATGGAACATGCCTTCAATGTACACATGATATCCTACTTACTATAAAGCGCTTCGTCTGTCGTCTGTCGTTCTGTATGTCTGTCACGAAATTCCCTAGCTCCTCGGGATCCGCCTGGAGAGACCGGGTCAAGTGTGGGATGGGTGGGCAAGGTCTCACGAAGTACAAAACACACATCAGCTAAGCGGAGCCCCGCCCACAGTGGGCGTGGCGTGCATCGAAATGAACTGTACTGACGACCAAGATTTCAATTTCAGTGACAAAACAACCTCGAAACTGGGCCAAAAAGTGGGTAAAGGTGTGCATTGGTAAGTCACATCGAATTAGGGAGACCCACCCCCGGTGGGCGGGGCGTTCTCTAAAAAAGCAGTGCTTTATGAAAAATTTCATAACTCGGTTGGGAGAAAGCCTACAGAGCAGAAAACAATTGGTGTAGGGGAGCAATGTCTAAGGTGTTCCCAGCATACATGACGTGGGCGGAGGCCCGCCCACAATGGGCGGAGCGTGCCTGAAGTGGACAGCGTTTCCTACAAGTCCTCATAATTCTTTCAAGAAGTCTTAGGGAGAGGGAAAAAGGTAGAGGTCAGAGGAGGTTAGGTCAAATGTTAATGGTGGGCGTGGCGCACAGAAAAGTGGGCAGACTTCGATACCAAACATAACTCGGTTCCAAGAATGGGTCGAGTCTGACAAAGGAAGAGAAGTCAACTGATATTGGGGCGTAGCATGCACCAAAGTGGGCGAAGTGTGTTTTCAGGTTTATAATTCGGTTCCAAGAAATCGTGGAGACCGGGAAAAGAAGGTAGAGATCGGTGAAGGAAAAGAAACCAATTGCTACTGGTGGGCGGGGCATACACCAAAGCGGGCGGATTTTGTTATCAGACTTATGACTCGGTTCCAGAACGTTCCAGAGATTTGGGAAAAGGTAGGCGAAGGGAAAGAAATAAACTCTAATGGTGTGTGGAGCATGCATCTATAATAGAAGCGGGGTTTGCCGCTAAAGATGTAAATTGGCTCAGGGACAGTTCTGAGACAGGAAAAAAAGAGAGAATTTGGCGAAGAAGATAGAGGTGGGTGGGAAATGCAGCGAACTAGGTGGAGTATACCACAAGATTTATAAATCGATCCAGAGGCAGTTCGGAGATATCGGACAATGGTTGACGAAGCCATCGGTGGATGGGCATGGGACAAGCAGATAGAATCTAGCTTAAAAGCCAAATATTCGTAGTGTATCGGGCCGAACTTGGGAAGTTACGCCGCACCATTCCTTATGCCGCAGAACTGCGTTGTGCGCGCAACTGCGTGCGGCGTCCAACCGGTTAACATTGTCAATAAACATTATTTACAACAAAGAGCTTACCACTGCGGATGCCATGTTTTCTTGTCCACTGTTGCCGACCAGTGCTGAAAAGGCTGCAATTTTTTTAAGGCGGATAAAGGCTAACAATTAACAAGTAAAACTTATAATCGTTCGCCCTCCACTGAATCTCTTGGAAAAATTCATACGCAAATACTAATTATGGCGCACCCGAATAGCCAGAGCATCTTCCAAGTTCTTGTCAGCATTAGCTCTTCGCGTTGGTGATTCAAGAAGATAGATACTGCAGAGTCCTTCCAGCACGCTTTCCAAAATAGCAGCAGCCTTCTGAAATGATTTCCTTCGATTACTCTCGTCTGAGATTGAACTTGGAGAAAACAGTTAAGTAGTAAGGCGAGATAATACACATGGCATACAAATACTTGCATGAAATCACCTCGGTAGCCAGCGTACATTTCTTCAACGGTAGGACTAGCTCGAGAACCGCACGAACATCAGCCCAATTCTCAAGCAAGTAACTGGACGGAGCCTGAAAGCAAGCAATTCATTATTTCACCGATATTCGCACTGACTACAATTCTTGTAGAAATATGCAGACACAAAACATCAAAGCTTACCTTCAGGACTCGATCGGCCATTGAAAGCCACCAGATCACTTGGAAGTCTACCTTTTCCTCGGAATACGTCTCGTCTTAAATGATGAAGGTCAGAGATGAGAAATTATGCATGTGAAAAACATTCTCGTTCAGATAAATCCTTAAGATGAACATACTACAAATGCACTGCTGCAATTTCTTCTTGATCAGCGAGAAGAATCGGACGAACGATAGTGAAGGATACATCTAGATACACAACATTATGGCAAAAGATAAGCTCACTAATCCGGAAAAGAGATGTTCTTTTCACCAGGAATAAAGAGCAGATATCAAATGCTGGTTTCAGTTTCTCAACTTCTTGCGAAAAAATTGGCAGAATCCACACTCCTACCTTTACCGCTACAAACACCATATCTGCTATGGCTGTCGACACTGTTTTGCTATCGAACACATTCTCACACATAAACGTATACAAACGATCAACTGCTACCTGAAAACGCTCATGTGACAAGACATGTAAAACAGCAAAAAGAAAACTATAAGTGGTTACTTTGTAGAGTTCCGTGCTGGAGTTCCGACATATGCCCTTGAAAACCGAAATGGTGCCTCTGGAAAAAGAATATCAATAAAAGCGGACATATTGCACAGAACAACAAACTATTGAGATATACTGAACTTATTTGAACAAAATAACAGATAATTAAGTCGGAGATTATTACAATGATTCCACAAAAAGACCTACGTCGCTATGGGCGCATTCATAGTCGGTTGTCCGGTTGTAACGATCGCACGTGTCGGACGTCAGACGATCGATACGCATCTCACGCTGTGCGACCGTTACGATCGGACCACCGACTATGTGTGCGCCCTATGAAATCTGTCTCACCTGTGCAAAATATGATCGTCCATATTTGCCCTTGTCTTAGTGTTGATGTTGGTGTGGGAGCCTGTGAAAGCCGCTGCTTCTCCGTATTCCATCATCATTGACAGCAATCTTGAAAAAGTTCAGTGGAGCAAAAATAAAGCAACAACATGCCATGTTTTTAACAATAGACTATTATGCATATTATTTTTTACTTTCTAAATGTTGGGTTTACTTTTTGCTGTGATCACCCTAAAAATGCAAACGACGACTGCTGTTCAGTTTAGAAGATGGGAAACTCAACTTCATCAAGCTGACGACCAAGCGACTATTCTTTTCTCAAAAATGCATGCCTTTACCCGGATGCACCAACTCTGCACTACAATGTCTGTAGGATCAGAACTGAAGGTGGATAATGCCATAGTATTACAAATTCCTTTCAAGACGATTCAGGACTTTAGCGCGGTGGTTGGAAGTGGGGGAAGGGGTAGTTGGAGCTACTGTTTCCAGGGTTGAGTAGTGAACCAATCCACGAAATTATGTACGAGCTTCAGGCTGGAGCAAATGTGTAGGCCTCCATGAGCTCGATGGTAGATGACGTCGTATTCAGGATAGGGGGAGCAGTGCAGGAGGGCTTGCATATAGTTACAGATGAACATCTAAGGAATGTTTTGCTGTCAGACTTCAACGGCGACAGCCCTTGCGACAAAAAAAATCGCAGAAGTGCGACATGCAAAGTGTTCTTTCCTATCCTCCACCTCCCCGTATATTCGCCAAAATTTCGAAATCTTTTAACTACTTTATATTTAGGCCTTGACCACAATGTGCCATCGAAATCTTCTAACTACTTTATGTTTAGGCCTTGACCACAATGTGCCACTGACCTCAACGACGTATCTCTTTGACCCCCAGTGGTATAAAGAGAGTACTTTGTTATGGCGAGCATGTGTACCATAGGGAGTCAAAAGCTTAAAGGCACGCTCCGGGTTTGGGCACGCTCACCTATTCCATCACCGGGAGCAGTAGACAGGCGCCAAAGGCGCTAGAAGCTCGTCCGACCCGCAACTCAAACCTTCGTCCGCAAGCCCCACCCTTCGCTGTCGGTTGCCACGTGGCGCTGCTTGAAAAGCGCGGGCGCATTGAGGCAGCGGTCCCATTGCGACCCAATGTCATTGGCACTGGAGCAACTAGAGCTGGGTTCGTGAAACTCGTCCAACGCGCCCATTATCTATTCCAAGGTGGATTACTGCTGAAAGAGAGTAGATTCCAATTCGAGGCGTCATAGAGGACTTCCCTGAATTCTTTGTCTTTTCCTGACCAGTTATCGAGATTCATGACTGTATGCTTTTCCACACCCATTCTATCCCAAAGCTTACCTTTAAGGCATTAATGTCCAGCTTTGCTTTGCGCTCTCCTCGTGCACCCTCTTTACCAGTGCGAGCGCTGATAGTGAAGAGGATGGACAGCTTATACCAAATGAGCGTTCTTTTTGTCCAGCTTTGCCCAAAACGAAAAAAAAACTGACTTGTCCATGAACATGGCAATAATGCTGTCGAAGTTGGCTGTTGCCGAGCATAGCTCTTTCTCGTCTTCCGTCAAGTCAGAGCGAAGATGGATAGCATCAGAGCAATCAACCAGGGGGATCAAGTTCACCAGCACACCAACAATCTGGAAACATATTTTGACAAACGATCATATAGTACACCAATGAGAATTCGTACCTGGAATGTTGTAAGACATTTCCCCATATCGTTTTGATCCAATCCGGGGAGTAGAGAGTTCATAAGGTTAATAGCGTGGATACTGCAAGGTTAAAAAGTTTTGGCATCAAAAAATTGGGTGCAAAATTGTGCGTTTCTTCTTTGCAAATTAAGAATTTTGTCAGCTGGGTTGAAATCACATTCTCAGAATTTGAATGCAATCAACATAACCAACATTGGACAACAATTTGATACCCTCAGAAGTACAATGTCAGACTGAATTTAATATCAAATCTATCTAATAGCGGCACAAAATCGTAAAATGATCTGGAACAAACCATACCGGAACGTCTTCCCATTTTTATCGGGCTGGTCCTTGGCCAGCACTGGCGCCACAGCAACAAGTACTTGTAAAGCTTGAAGCAAACGATGAGGTTCAGTGAGAGTCTCAAGAGCAGGATATACGCTAAAGCACAGTTATAAGAAGATTAAATTCACACGCAGATAACGTCTAAAAACACGGGGATCGAAACCGTTTCATAATCAAAATAAAGAAAAAAATGCAGAACGCACACGTCAAGGAACGGCTGGTAGTACAATTTTTGGACTTATACTGCAGCAACATTTCACTATCGGAGCAACAAATCTGAAGTTTGAGTATAATGCATCTCTTCACGTTGAAACACAGAAGAGGGCTAAGAAAGTTCAGAAAATTGAAGTAAGGTAATATTGTTAGCGTACTCATTCCGTGCTTTGGAGAACATTGCCAATTTCAGACATGGCAGCATTTGCGTGACAAACTCGTCAAGGTGGACTTGTGTAAGCCGCATGGAGGCTGGAATCTAAAATCATAAAATTGTATAAAGAGCAAAAATTGCGCGTCAGACGGAGGAGTAATGCAAGTATACGCAATAACAACAACGATTCTAAGCAACCTTCACAAAAGTTCTCGATTTGCTGGATGTTTTCTCCATACGCTCCCTTTTTACGCGAGACAAAACGCACAGCGACAGCCTGAAGAAAAACGATTTATGAATCATCAACTATGAAACATAGCCAATGTGTATAGAAGTACTGCTAAAAAAAGACGGACTTATTCATAAACACTAGCAAATGTTGTGTATGCATGCCGTGATTCGACGGATGTAAGTAAGACTCCACCAATTGGAAAACTGACTGCAAATTTTTCATCAGCCTGAAACATTCAGATCTTTCGTATCACAACTAGTTCTGCAGCTTAATGGAGTACTGAAGACAAAATATTGGTAGTGGAGTGATAAAGGATTGGATTACTTTTCGTGACACTGTGTTCCCATTGCATATGTGATGAACCCTGATGCACCTTCTGAATTGAACTGCTGACAAAGCCCTACGACGCTACCAAGCCGAAACGATCGAATCAACTAAAAGAATGTAATTTTTAATAGAAGGGATGTGAATAAAACACGTATGCAGTAGATTTCAAAAATAACCACCTTCGTAAAAATGACGTCAAGTTTGTCAGTCCAATCAACTGATCCTGGACACTCAACAGATAGTCTGGAAGTATATTTAAAATTTTAGGCTTGTTATAAAGCTAACAATGAAAATACTATCTGAATTTCAACCATTCTACACCTACCTCACAAACATCTTCAAGATGGATGCTTCGACCAGATTATTGTTCTCCACTGTTACGAACCAATGCCATGCCTCATCCAGCCACAACCCGCTCCCTGGAGAAGCGAATATTTCTGTTTGATAATTGTTTTGAAACAATGATAAGCAACATCGCAACGGAAATCCCCGTAACGACACTATCAGAGATGACTATATTATTCCACACTTGACAATTTATATGAGATTTCCAAAAACTCACCATGTGTAATCTGTCTGTCGGGTGGGAGATTCATTGGCACAAACAATTCTAGTAATCGCCAAGCCCGTACTATGGACTCATCCCAGACGCACATCAACGGGCGCAACTGAAATAAGAGCACTAAAACGTAATGCATTATAAAAAAAAACGCAAGGAATGTCATAGAGGTGCCCATAGATAGCTATAACTACCTCGTCAAGTAATTGCTGCGTTGCATTATCTGAGAAATAGCGCCGAGAATGTGAAATGTATGCTTGTAGTTCAGATCTGAACCCATCTGGCATGAGGAAAATGCCATCTTCCTGAAACCATACAAACAAATAAACTCAAAGATGCAAATCAAGACACGACAAAAGTTTTCACTGTGGAATGAAAAGAAAACGCATAAGCACTGAGAAATTGAAAAATTTCAATTAAAAAATAGAAAATTGTCACAGCAGTTGGTTCTGGAAGTAAGCAATAAACGTGTTTGCTTGTTACGGTAGGAGTGGTCTTTCCTTCTTACCAATTAAAACGAATTACCAAGGTTACTGGAGTATGACGCAATAAGGTAGCTTCAAAGATGAAAAATGAGAATCTTCCCGAAAATATATGGAAAGGAGATTGTTGAAAACTACCGCGGTAGAAACTGCCGTAGTTCAAGGGCATATTTCCAAAGAATTCCTTCTATCATGATCGACTATATGCGACAGAGCTCATCTCATTAGCTCAGAGAAATTATCCTTTCGGAATTATGTGGTCAAAAGGATAAGCCATATTGGCCGATGTCAGACTTTGCGATTGGAGCGATTTTGCACCAATTGCAGGAGCGACGGATCGCTTGAAGCGATGCGAGCGACGGGAGATTTACCCGAGCGGCGCCGTGTGTATCGGTATTCGGCGGGGTAAATCTCCCGTCGCTCGCATCGCTCAAGCGATCCGTCGCTCCTGCAATTGGTGCAAAATCGCTCCAATCGCAAAGTCTGACATCGGCCATTGGCGTAATGCTGTCCGCGAAGAGCACGTAATAGTGGGGGGGGGAGCAGTCTGAGGGAGACCACTGGGACTAAACCTAACGGAGAGGGACGAATTGCGGTGACAATGAGAGTTGCTTATGCACCTTGGATTCCCTCTTTTCCTCTAAAGCTTAACCCCATGAAGGTTTTCGTGAATCTGACGCAATGTTACGGCCTGCTGCCCTCACCCCAGAGCTACATTGCTTCGAACAAAGCAAGCGTAATAATTACAAAAAAAAATTAAAACAAACCTCCAAGTTCTTGTAGGATACTTCGACATACAAATCAAAGAGGGGTCTCCAATCGATTTCCAAATCACCACGCAACAGGAAATCGCGTTTGCTGAAGATCTACATTACAGGAGCGAGATTAAGTTCTGCATAATGAGGGACACTAAACATCTCAAACACCAGTAAGAAGGAAGGCGCTCTGCTTTTTTTTAAGTAAGGAGCTTGTGGAGCTTCCCATCACAATACTGCAGTTGCTGAGAAAGACAATGTCCTAACGGGAGAGAGCAACAAGACAACATAGACATATCCTGAAACCACATCTTTAACATACCCAAGCAACTTATTGAGACAGTGCATTGAAATTTTCACGTCCCTGAAGGTGTTGCCTTTTTTGACCGAACAATTCAATAGGCGAACGAACAGAATGTGATCGTCTTTACTTAAACGACGACCATGATAATCAATGTATCTGAAATGATAGCAAATACTAATTTTGATTTGTTTAGCTATCTACTTCCAACACAACACAACAAATTTCTACTTGAAAAAAGTTCCAAGTAGAAACAGTATAAGTAACCAACTTTCAATTCCGAAACCCAGTGCATGAGTCCACATGATGGTGATTCACTTCAGAGTATCGCGTGTGATAAGCCAGCCTTACAAAAAGAAAATACGGACAACAAAAAATAATCGACAAAACCCGAGAAGCCTATGCCCCACTTCACTTTCTACATTCTGAGTTGTGAAAGTTATATGCTGGGATGCTTATGAACGCGCAACTGATTTGAGTAGCTGGTCGAATCTCAAATCGTGGCCACTTCCAACATAGTGCTATAGTATTGAAATATCCAAGATGTGAAACGACGCATAGGGCGAGCTAATCAAGTGTAGTAATTTGGAAGATGAGTCAATTTCCTTCTGTAGTTCTGCTGTACAGTATGCACACACCTTTATGCTGGCGAGAGTCTTGTTCGCTTGTCTCTCGAGATCTTCGTAATAGGGGAGCTTGGTGAGCTGCCAAATCTCCTTTTGATACCATCTTACACATGAAGAATTTGAGCCATTATCCCATGTCGTTATCGTCACCTATAATGAGCGGTAGTTCGAACTCATCCATGCGTAGAACAAATGTGTAAGTGACTTTGTAATTAGATCGATTCGTGAAATATCTGCTTCTTGCACAATGCAAGTTTAGAGATTTAAATATATGAACGTGATTCTTAGCACTCGAGGAGGACCACTGGGAGTTTTGAAGCATGCCTCAATTTTCATCCAACAACTGCCGCTCGCTTGTACTCACCGTCATCTTCTGACTCCTCTTCCTTGGCCGACTTTAGCGAAAGTTTACCGAATGCTATGGAATCCACAAATGAGTTACCCGGAAAGGCATCGACCACATTACACGTTTTGAACTCCGTCATCCTTATACTGAATGAAAGGAGAAAACGACTAATAAGAAACGCTTGTACTTTCTGAGAGCGAATAGCAAGCAATGAAGTGAAGGTAACGTAACGATCGAGGCTACTTCAAGATATTCAGCGATTACGGCTGTCTATTCCTCAGCCCTTCCAGAATTACCACCGCTATCATGAATAACTAACAAAACTTCCATTGTCTACAGCTAAAATGCAGTTTTAAACTTGTACTTGCTACAATTAGCACAGCTCCGTGTTGAGAAGCGGTAAAATCTGCACAAATCGCACGCTCACTCTAACTAAGAACTTCGTAATGTGTTATGGATGCACCAAGAATAAACATTCCACCGCTCAGATTCGAGAAGCAGCACCAAGGCGCCCAGTGTAGAAATAGAGCAAACTTGGGACCAGTCAGAAATGGGTACATGAACAATCACATGGGACATTGTCCAGATCTAATGAAAAATTGAAAGAAGTTCAGATGGTCCGACCTCATCGAATCGAAATTATGCGAATGAGTAAAATTGACAATGGCAGTGGAAGCAAATTTTGTCCACTGGACTAAGAGTGCGACGGTGATTCGATTACGAAAGGCAAGGCGAAATCCATTAAATCTGTTTGAAAAAGCAAAATGGACAAAGCCGGAGCAGAGTTCAAGAGAAAATTCTAGCTGAAACATGTGGATACGGCTTTAAACCCTCCAACTATGTGTGATAGCATAAAAAAACAAGAACGAAAGTGCAAGCAACGTGTCACGCGAAAGCGAAACACCGACGGCAGAGCCGGACGAGTTCCACCAGCGTTTCATCGCAGCTGCAATGACTAAATCCAAAAAAACACGTAAGGTAGTGAAATGTTTTGAATGAAAACATCAAAGCAACATTTTCACGTGCACAGAACCAGTCTGGTTTCCAGCTAGTTTCAAGATCTTCTCCTTATTCAAACTCCATTATTTCATCGTTGTTTCTCTTGCAAATCAATCGATTTTTTCAGGATTTTCCCATTTCTACGCTTCTATATTGATTTCTCTGAAGCTACCATATTCATGCGCTCACACATTGGGAAAATGTGCGTTCGAACACAATATTTTATCTTATACAGCCGATATCCGAAAGTTGGGGTGGGTGTGTCACCGGAAGTGACGTGCACTTGATAGAAGTGCGTGGATAAGCTGTTGCCAGCATGCTTTGCTGATATCCAGCGATGTATGTTGGAAGCAGCTTATCCAC